CAATGGAAGGTCGTTTTATTGGCAAAACTGTTCTTATGCTAGGAGAGCCAAGCGCAATAGCGACAACACCAGATGGTCGTATTTTGGTTTGTGACTATGAAGACAAAAAAATGTATATCTTGAAATAGACACTCAAACATGTTTTGCAAAAAGGAATAATAATGTGGGATTGGTTACAAAGTTAGCACTTTAATCATTACACCGACAATCAAATAATGTATATACTTTTTCCCCTTTGAATATGACTTGTTTAGAGATCTTTGAGGTGCTTGGGATGTATGTATTAAAAAGCGGACTAACGTGAACTTCCACCTCCTCCCACAGCTCAATTTCTAGGAGTGCATGTATCAGTTGAGACCGCGATCCTCTCCACCATGCGTATTGAAACTCTGATTGGTGGATATCGATCTCCCTCGGTCCCAGGTTCCTTTGGCCAATATTTTACTCCGGAGAGAATATCGTAGCTTGTCAAGTATCTTTAGGTGACAGTTTCCTATTTTGCAGGATAGGCTTGAAAAACAAATTTTATTGTGAAAATAATATTCCAGTTTTAGCTTGTCTGGTATCACTGTGAGTGAATTTTTTTCAATCTCCCGAACTGGACCAGACAATACAAACTAGTTCCTTTAAGAAATTCATACAACTATAGAGTTGTTCGCACAATAAATTTTTTTTTATTTATCATCGTTCAATGGTAATTTCTGCACAAGTAACTAGAACACTAGAAAAGTAGACTCGTTCAAATTTGATAGACCAATTTATTGGATTGTGAATTTGCTTAATATCTATTACGATAAATGTAGATATAAAAAGATGGGTGACTGATATTTTGACTGAGCAAAACTTCATATGTAATGACAATGCATTAGTTATTAATGACTTACAGAGGCTAGTCCTGCAATTTTTGATGGAGGAAGGGGGGGGGGGGAGCGACGGCTCCAAACTTTAATTCAGAAATTACTACAGAACCTTTGTTGGGCTAATTACTTCTCCCTGAGACTCCGTCACTCTCCCCAACAACCGAAAAATCCCAAACCAACTTCCCCCCCTGCGCCGTTACTCATTATAACCAATTATTATTTAACACCAGTTTTCTTAGCCCCCCCCCTACCGTGGACATGGATTTTACTCGTTAAGGATACACCTCTGGAACATCCTTTCCTTGCGCTTGGCTACAAATACTGTACAGATATCGTCAATATTGTAAGGTCATGGCGCAAATGTATGAGTGCAAGTCCTGACAACCGCTTTTCAGACATCCTATTTGTAAGATAGGACTTGATTCTTCGCAAGCCAGAGAAAGAAAGCTCGGCTGCGGCAGAACTTCCTCGGAGCGTAAACCCAGTTATACAGCATCCATGTCTCTCCGCCTATCTGGTTTTGCCTAAGTCTTTCAACTTGTCCTATCTTGAAATAGAACCACACTTCTCCAAAACTTGTTCTAGAAATCGCTTTCTTTTAGGCGAAATATGAAAGAAGGAAAAAGTCTCATTTAAGGTTCTAGTCATGTTTCCGTGACTGCAGTTAGCCTGCGCACGGCTGCAACACTGAGATTTAAAACGTGACTGTTGTAATTATTTGCACGATGCGATTGGAGCTATTCTCTTTTTTCTCCCTTACACACTACATGCTTCCGATGATATGGCAGCAGTAACGTGATCATATACCTACAAACGCGACGTCGATGTTGTTCTCAGCCAAACTTGACAAAATAGCGTTTGCTATGCTCTCACCAGATCTTTTGTCAAGGATGAAAAGGTCACCTGATCGTTAATTATTGAGAAAAAAGCGTTTTCCTTTTGAATCTTCTGTGTAACTTTCGACCGAACATATGCTCCAGTGATATTAAGAACTTCCTCATGTACAGTTTTAGAGGGACTTGTGGCATTCACCAGTGAGTAATTAAGTGTTCTTTTAAATCGTCATTAGAGTTGCTTAATGGCATAAGAATGGCATGGAAGTTGCCTTTGTTCACGGAGGCTGAGCTTGTGCTGTCATCTCGATGGCCTCTAAGAGAGATGTTCTGTTTGCCACACAATATTACGGTACTTATGATTGCTCTACGCAAGTTCATATTTTTGTCAAACATCTCTTGATTTTACGTGGAAATTCTTAATGACAAGGTTTTCTTTGATTTTGAGCACTTTGAATTAGCGCAACGCCAGTGTCAAGTGCCCTCTGGTGACATTGCATTTTCTGATGACGCTCAAGTGCTCCATCTTTACCAGCGGCTTTTTTCAGCTTCTTAGAATGTTTATCTCTTCCCTTAACCACAGTCTTGGAGAAAAACTGTGAGTGTGAAAGAGGCGGGCTAAAATGGTTTTAAGGTATTTAATTTTTCATGGAACTGAAGAGTTCTTGGATCGACTTTACCACTAACGATATCCCCAACATCAAAGTATGGTACGACATGCTGATCAGTGGAAGAAACATGGGAAAAACCGAAAAATAAAGCAAGTAACTTACTGCTAAGTCGTCAAATTGAAAGTTCAATTTATTGTTTTCAACGTCCTATATAGTTCTCTATGGATTTTGAACAGTTTTGATTTGAAAACTCAGCATAACTTAACGTTTACTTAATCGATATCTGAAAAATGCTTCTTAACTGTCTGGGCCATTAAAGAAGCGTTGTTGACAGTTTATGCCAAATTCGCTTGCTAAGGATAAAAACTCTGATCGATCTTCGATATTAAGGTCTTTGTTGAGAGACAAAAGCTCGCAAAGTATTGTGTAGATTTTTTCAAGTGATTATAAAAATAGATTGCTTCCCTTTTCACCAAGGAAAAACAGATTTGATTTGACACTGCAAGAGCTGACACTCAGAAACAATCATCCCGTTAACCGTGAGGAAGGTTAAATTTTTACGCAAAGAAATTGGGGATATGTCGTTTAATACAAAGCAATCATTTATAGGGTCAAATACACAACTGGTGTGTACCTTGTAAGTAAGAAAGGGTACATATCGACTGGCCAGACAGATTTACATTTCGAAGT